AATATCGTAAACGCGCTACAGTATACGTTCTTATACGAACGCAAAACGCTCGTTCTTAATTAACGCGCGCTTCTGCGCACAATTCACGATGCTCACGTAGTCCGTCACGTGATTCGTCACGTGATCCCAGTTCGCTCCGCCGGCGGCGACGAAAGTTTCGTGCGTTACTGCGTGTCACCCGCTCCGGTTTCACGCTCGCCTCCGCGATGTCCGAGGATTCGAAACGCGAGAAACACTTCTTTTACAACACCCTGGCGATCGTGCTGAAGGCCGTGGAGAGTCACCGAACGACGGTGGACCTGCGGAACGAGGCGACGATCGTCGGCGTCGTCGATCATGCCGACGCGTAAGTATAAAACTGAAGCAAACGGGTGAACGTTCTCTTCTCGGTGCGACGTGCGATCGTTCGAGCGATCGTCGGTGTATTTGAAAATCTGCGTCCCGTCGACGGTGGTGGTGCGCGACTTTTACGGGCGAAACGGGCATAAGAAAATCGACCGGACCTGTCCCTCTTTTCTCGAAAATATTCGCGATCCCCGACGACTCGTCGCACACCACTCTGAACATGCCGTGTTCTCGCTCTCGTTTTGCAGATACATGAACATCGTGATGCGGGACTGCGTGTTCACGGATCCACGCGGCGACTCCTTCAAATTCGACATGTTCTTCGTGCAGGCGAGGAACATCCGCTGCGTCCACATCCCGTTGAACGTGAGTGCACCTCTCATTCGGAGCATATAGCCGATTTGGTTCCCTCCGTTTCGACCTTCGGAGTGGTGGTAAAGCGCGCGAGCAACCGTCCGTTTAGGTTATGTCGCCGCCTCGTGACTAAAAAAAAACCGGCTCTCGCTCGAGGTGTTTAGGACATTTTAGGGCTCAGGGCATCTGGGGCTTAGGTGGTTTTTTATGTCGGAGTTGCACGGTCTGGCCCTGAAACGTTCCTGCGTCCATCGTCGACTCGCTGTATAGTCTATATTTACGCAAAGCTGCCGGGTTACTCGACACACATGATGCCAACACCTGCCCGTCGCGCTTGGAAATGAGCAGAGACCTGGGTCTTTACCGTCACACCGTCAGATTGTATGTACGCAGGCAATACTACTCCGTCGTACATAAACGGGTAACTGATAAAGCAGAAGTACCTTCCGGTACGACCGTATGTACAGTTTTTAATAGATACGATTCCACGGCGTCTAGTAGACTCGCCAAGAACGACATGGACGTGTTCAGATTCACGGACTACGACTGCGTCGGCTTCGACCTGGACAACACTCTGCTGCGTTACAACGTCACGAATCTAGTTCGCATGGAGTACGAGATGCTGGCCAGATTCTTGGTGGACAGACGGGGATACGGCGCGAAGCATCTGCTGAAACTACCGCTGACAGACGACGACCTGGACTTTATGCAGAAGGGACTGTTGCTGGACATGGAGAGGGGAAACGTGCTCAGGCTGAGCCCGGACGGTGTTATCCGCAGAGCGTGCCACGGCTCGCGTCTGTTAAACGCGGACCAAATAAGGGAGATATATCCGGAGCAAAGGTGGGAGGCCACGGATGTTTTCTGTCGCGACGTACTGGCAGCCTGGAACGGTGCTCTGTCCGAGAAATTGAGGAGCACGCTGGATTACTTCGACATAGTGGCGGGTCTGGCGTTTGCACGAGCTGTAGACACTCTCGACGAGGAACGCGGATCACCCTTGGACAGATATAATATCTGGCCTGACATACTGGCCGGACTGTTTTACATGTTCTCTAGAGAGCATTTCCAATCGAACAAAGGGATCTTTGGCCATGTTAAAAGAGACCCGGAGAAATATTTGCGTAAATGCAGCTCAGACACGATCTCCTGGTTGAGAGAAGTAAAGAAAAAATCCGCGACCTTTCTCATTACCGGATCGAATGCGGACTTTGCGAGTTTCACCGCGAGTTACGCTCTCGGGGAAGACTGGCGATCTCTCTTCGATATTGTAGTGTGTTACGCGAGGAAACCGGGGTTTTTTATTAACAATCGGCCGTTCTTCGACGTCGTAAATAATAACGAAACCAATATTGCGAGCCGAGATTTAAAACGAGGCGAAATGTACAGTCAGGGAAACTGGAATGATCTATTAGAATTTCTCGCTCGTATAACGGGGAAAATTAATCAGCGGTGCTTATACGTCGGCGATAATCTCATACAAGATATTTATGTACCAAATGTATTTGCACGTTGTGATACACTGGCCGTAATCGAGGAACAAATGTCAGAAGGGATGCTCTATCACTCTTTGACACATCTGGACGAGAAGATTTTGAATTCGAAACTCTGGGGGTCTTACTTTTGTCTGAAAGATTCGACAATCAATGTAGACTCTTTATGGGGGCATATAATAAAGAAACACGCGAAGCTGTGCATACCGGATATCAGTTTGGTAACACAGAGACCGTTAGGGGAGCCTATCCTTTGTTTTGATAAAGATGGAAAGTCATATCGCGGATATTATCCTGCTGTACCACTCAGTTTGTCAGCCATGTAATATAGGAATGCGAATGACAATATTAGAATTTATTATGTTTACATCGTTTGTAACGAAGAGAAAATCTTTTATCTTTTTACAAAATCTTACAAGTATTTAAAAAATTGTAGGTGTGACTTTTTAGCTTTTAAATATAAATGTGCTTGTATACATATTTAAAGACATTGAAATTTGCTTAACGTTATTGCTGAAAAACTGTCAGTCTCTAATAAAATAGAGAAACTCATTTTTATACTTGCCCGTTTTTTCATCTAATTTAGGCATGTTATAATTTAAGATACGGATTATCCCAGCTATCAAGGAACAATTAAAACGACTAGGCCGACCTTCGAGGGAAATGATGAGTACAAAAACAACTTACAGAACAAAACGTGCCCAACAGAGACAACAGGAAGGCCTTGCGGCTGTAGAACAGATTTTAGAGAGTAAGAATATAACAAAAACCGAAACGTAAATAAATGAGACTTGTAAAGATCTAATTTGTTTTGTGATTTTAAATTATCCGTCTTACGAAATCGATTAATATCTAAAATATTATTTGTATAATTTATTTTATTATGTACGTCCCAAGATTATCTTTCTTTTTTAATGTTTTATACTTGACAGCTCAACATTGTTATACTTCATAATATAATTTACATTTCAGTATCTTTACTTAAAACTCTGTTATGTGAAATACACATATCATAAAAATATTTAAATTATTTCTAAAAAGGGATTGAATAATCAAATACTTGTTACACAACTAAAATGAATGGACATTGTACAGAACATAGTAATATTCCTTTATTTAATGTATAACGTAAAAGAAAGGCCATTTTTAGCGAGAAACGCTTTAATAAAAATATAATAAATTTTATATAAGATATATAATATATATATAAATAAGGAAGACATTCGTTATGTTCTTTCAACAGCAATGGCAATGCCCATTCCCCCTCCTATACACAAAGATGCGACACCCTTTTTCTTTCCTGTTCTCTCTAAAGTGTGTAACAGAGTGACCAGTATTCTTGTTCCTAAAACACAAAATTTTATCATAAAATGAGAATTCTTTAGAGAAAGTCCAAGCATCGATACATACCTGACATGCCAACAGGATGACCTAAGGCAATAGCACCGCCATTTACATTAACTTTCTCGGGATCTAATCCGAGTTCTTGAACACACACT